TCTTGAAGCAATAGATGGGCCCTCCCTGGGTCTCCCAAATCTCACCAGAGATATGCCTATCATTTGATCATTCAAACCTTATGGGGGGACCCACCCTATGTAACTGTCCCACTTTTCTGTCTATCCTTGTTCCCCCAGTGAAGATCCCAGCCAGTGAAGGCCCCAAAGCCCTTCTCTCGGTCCCTCAGCCCTACTGTACCCCAGCCAGGAAAGAAGACACAGCAGCCCCAAGCTGTATCAGGTGATTAATGAACTCCCTAGGCCTTTGGGCTATTTTGGGGCCTGGAAGTCATGCCTGCTATGATTGAGAGTTGGCCCCGCCTGGCTCTGGCCATCTGTCACTGGAGACAGGTCCAAGCAGTGGGCTTGGGGGACTCATGCTCTCCCAAGCGACTTCTAAGTATGGCTCTGTCTCAGCCCCATCTCCCCTCCTTTTGGGAGATACTCCAGGGGCTCAAGTGGAATGGATACCATGGAGAGAGCCAGAGAACTACAGATCCCAGAATGCCAGGGGGCTAGGTTGTTTTGGTCTCCCCAGGCCGGTGGGGAGGGGTGCTGGGTTCTGTGGGCACTGCGCAGGCAGCCCTAAGGAAACCCAAGGTGGAGGTGTGCACAGATCTCAGCAGTGCCATGATATGATACCCAAAATCCCCATATCATAAATTCCACAAATCCCACAGTGAAGTACAACCTTGTGAAGGCTATACAACTAACTTAGTGTGACTCAGGGACCCCCATCCCAGCTCTAAAGCATTAAACTCTAGGGACATGCAGTTTCACTGCCACGGAATCCCAGGGATATGCAAACCTAGGGACACACAGCCCCAGCATTCACAACCCCAGTGATGCATGCACGCCCCCCTTAGGACAGACTCCTAGAGATAGACAAACAGCGACATATACTCCTTATGCCACGCAAGTCTGTCCATCTCATCATGCATGAGCTCATGAGCTGGGTTCATGTTGGTCCAGTCCTACCTCAGATTTTTTCCTCTGGACACTCACCCCAGTCATCTCAAGACCCCATTAAACTAAACAATTCAGTAAAGGGCTGTGCCTTTCCCCTGCTCTTATCCCTTTGAGGGGCTTTACCTCTTACATGCACTTACTTGAGGCCCCCCCTCTGCCATCAATGAGGAGCCCTGCACCCTCCTCCACCATTCCGGGGGACCATGATGCCCCCTCTCCTTTCCTCCTTGATGACCCCCTAACTCCACCTTCTCTGTAAAGAACCCTATCCCTAGCTCCACTTCTGTCAGGGGTCTTGCCCTTTAAACCCTTTTCATTGAGGGATCCTGTTTCCTCAATCTGTGAGGGCCCCTTTCCCTCCCCATCTTTGTAAGGCTCCTATCCCACTTCGCTCATTTTTTGAGGGGTCCATCCCCTTCCTCCCTTCCTCATACCTGGCGACAACGACCCAGTCACCAGCTGGTAGAGAGATCGCGCTGCCTGCCCCAATGGGCTCCGGCACCTGCGGGGGCAACGGTTCATGGTTCCGCTGAGAGCACAGTGACCAAGCTCCACCCCCAAGTCCCCGGGTGGTCTGGTCTCCGCCCGAGTGGGCCCTTCGTGGGCGGTGCCGGAGGGCGGGACCTGCGTGCGGGACCAGGACCTCAGACAGCAGAGCCTTGTTCGGCTCCAGGTCTTCTCCGGGCCGCACGAGGGGAACTCGCCCTGGCCCCAGCATCTAAAGCACCGGACCCCAAAGTTCCCAGTCTGCACCTGAGGTGGAGGCGGGAAACGGGGACGGGAAGGGGAGACGGGCGCGGCGCAGACTCTCCTTCTAGCCTTCTTTGGGAGTATTTTCCGGGTTTCTGGTGGGGAAGGGAGGCACCCACAGGTTTTGAGAAAAGGAGTGGGGGTGGGGGAGAATGAACCTTATCTTCTATTGCCCTTCTTCAAAGCCCCTCCTTCTCTGCTGTCACACCCCTCCTCTTCCCATTTTGGCAGAGATGAGAAGGGGTAAGAGGACATAGTTGTCATGGCAACTCCCCACACTTCCATACTTCCAGGACAAATAGGAGAGAGGGCAGAAGGGAGGAGGAGGAACTGACCAGTGTATTGGGGTGGCAAAGAAGGACGGTAAGGATGAGACCCTACTGGTCTGTCTCCTGGCTCCCAATCCCTTTCTCAGAGCTGTTCCTTTTTTGCGTCCCTTTGTCCCAGCGGGTTTGCAGACTCTCCCATTATATGCTGACTGCCAGCCAAGTGCATTGGAAGCCCTCCCTTCTCAGTCCCGTCCTACCGCCTTTCCTGGATTCATTCCCACCTGGCTTTATCCAAAGGAAACCTCTTCAAGGACCCACTAGTGCCTGCACACTGCTGGGGAAGCCTACAGAAGGGACATAGTTCCACTCGGACTGGGAGCCCATATTTTTGGCTGAAAAATCTTCCATCTATGAAGCGACAGTCACATCCAAACTCCATGCAAATCTTGCCCCTTGATTTGGTGACATCCCTCTTCCAATTCAGCGCCGCAAGCTGATTATGACCACACGGGGGCGCCCCAGCCCGGGGAAAGATATTTATGGCCAGAACGACACGTCTCCCACTCCATCTCAGACTCCGACTCCGACTCCAGAGATCCCAGGCCCAGGGACCCGAGCTCAGGCCTTGGCCAGCCTGGTCCCAATTCTCTCCCCATCTTCTCCAGTCTTCTCATTGCTTCCAGCTAGGAAAGGACCGCCGCTGATCATTGACTTTTCCCACCCTGCCGCACTGCCAAGCGGCCCTGCCAGGCTGGTAAGACCAGAGGGGTTAGACGCGGGGCAGGGTGGCAGGTTGGCACTTGGACTTTCCCCTCCCCTAAAAGTCTTCTCCGTCTGCACAGGGAAGATAATTTGGGAACTCGGGTGGCCCCCTCGCACCTCCTCCCAGAGCGCTCTTCAGCACCGCGGACAACGACTCCCTTTCCGGCTCCCGATCAGACGTCTCCAGGCACACAGCGCTTTAATTCAGGGGCGTCCCAACCCCGTTTGTCTCCTGCTATAAGATAACCTTCCTTCGAAATGAGAGCTCCTGGTCGTCCTATTTCTTCTTTCCAAGTCGTGTGTAGAGTTATGACATGAAGCATGATTCTTGCCACTTGCCAACATTTGACATTTCTATTTCCCCTGGGAGGTAGGCAGGCAGGAAGTAGTATTCCCCATTTTTACACAGAAAAGTGAAGCCCAGGGAGAGCAAAAGTAATACATAGCTAGTACTCACACTTCCATTCCTGCACCTTCTAATACAAGTGCTTCCCCACCTTCACCCAATCAATCTCTGATTCAAACGGCCAAGTGGAGAGGGGATGATTCTATTAAAAGGAAGAATCAATTAAAGTGGGAAGCAAACACTGACTAATATGGTACTAATGAGGGCCCTGGGGCCCTTCCTACTCTCAAGGATCCAGAGACGGTGAGAAGAGTTCAAAGCAGAGCTAGACAGCTGGACTTTTGGATTCTATCTAGGACACATCTGGGGCCTGCCTGAGTGGACGGGCTTCCCTTCCTGGGAGTCTTCGCATAGGGACTAGGACCTCCACAGGGTCAGTGAGTCAGGGAGACACTTTCTAGAGGCATTGCATTCTAGTCATACACCCATCCCCAAGTCTTAGCCTCGCTCCCCTCAGGACAGACAAAGATCTTGGCCTCCTTCCATCTCCCCAGCTTGGTTCAGACACAGGGGAGAGTCTACCTTCTCCCATTCTCTGTTGGAGTTCTCGGGCAGGCTGCACAATAAAAGACAGAAACACACATACATGGAAATGTACACAAGGTGTCACCCATACAAACACACGGATCTGCCTGCCAAACCCAGCAATGTGCACAGGCAGAGATGTGCTGGCCTCACATACCTCCCCAATGTGGGAGAGAGCATATCTGGGCAGCAAAGTGGTTTGCGGGGGGACATTTCCAAGGGGAGGCCACAGGGTACCTTCCAAGTCTAGAGCTTCTATCTCCGGGTCTGGAGAAGAGGCAAGAGGGTGTGTTTTCCTTCAGGTTTGGGTGAAGTTCTGGTACAGTTGCTGGGTGCTGAAGGAGCTTCTGCTGTAAGAATGATCTCTGGGTACTTTATCGGGGGAGGGGCCTGACTCAGTGTTAACCACAGCTCCTGGATAGGGGCCAGGTGCTGCTCCTAGGAGTCAGGCTGGGCAGCTGGACCTTAGAGTCTCTGCTCAGGTCCACCTGGGCTATTTGTGGAAAACATGGGGTCAGCAGTGGTGTGTACTAGAGATCGCCTTCTGCACCAGGAAGCCAGAGAGACAGCTAGGGTAAGACACATCACTGACACTCGCAGAGCCCCACTGAAGACACCACCACATGAAAGTACACAATCAGCATCAAACACCAATATAGCTGGCATAGTCTCACAATCACAAAACACAACACAACCCACTCGAACAAATACTTGCCCCAGGAAGTTCACAAAGTCTTACAAAGAGACATACCACCATAGAGTGAAGCCCTGACACATTCTGGTTGTCACATACCACTTCATACCGGAGCACATACTCAAAGCACAGAATCGCACATAGAACAGAAACATATGGTCAAACAACTTCATTAGTACAATCAGGGTACTATACAACCTCACTCAAATACGTGACGAGATCATACGATTGCACAGCCACATACAATCACACTCACCCTGGCTGTCACTAAGCCTAGGGCACATGGCAACCAGCTGTGGGAGGCGCACACACAGATACACACAGACACACACAAAGAATGACAGGCGCTCACTCACGTAACACCTCCCACCATAACCCTTCCTGCCTTGTGTCACAAGGGCCCACACCTGCTGCCTCTTCCCACCTGCCCACCTGCTCTCCCCAACCCGTCATCCCACCGTGGGGCCCAAGGCTTTAAACCCCAGTGTCCTGGGGCCCAGAACAGCCAGAGGGTGTCTGAGAATGGGGCAGAGTGCGGGTAAGGGCTTGGCAGGGGTAAGAGGCGTAAGGGTCTGGGGGGATGGAATCTACCCTCCCTCCCGCGACCCTCGATCCACCGACTCACCGGTGAGCTGGTCATAGGATCCGTCCAGGTCTCGGGAATCGGACAAACTCTCCTTGCGACCCTGGCCCCGCATGGCCCCTGGCGACCCCCTCCCGTCCGGCCTGGGCCGTGGGAGGGGGCGCCGGGTGGCCGGGATAGGGCGCTCACACGGCGCCCCCTGGCGGCGTAGCACACGGCCGGGGCTGGGGGCCAGGAGAGTCCTGACTGGGGTTGAGAGTCTGAGGACCGGGAGAGGTTTAGGACCCACCCGGGGGTCCTGGGACGGGAGCGGGAGGGAGGCTCGGGCAGTAGGTGAGCGACGAACCCGAGGCTGAGCGGAGCTGAGCGCAGAGCCGGTGCCGAGCCGCCTCTCTCCTCCCGCCCCCTCCCCGCGGCTGTCATCGCTGCCACCCCCCTTTGGCGCTGCCGGGATTGGCTCCCCCTACCCCCGCCCCCTCCTCTTTGCAGCTCGGGGGAGGCACCGGTGAAAGGGTGAGCTGGGAAGTGCGGGGAGGGAGACAGGCTCTCCAGCAACACTCCCCCCTAAACCTGAAGCCTTGGGTCTTGGGGGTGGAGGAGAGAGCAGGGCCAAAAAGGCCCCCCTGTGAGGAAACCCCGCCCCAACCCTCAGGCCCTCTTTCCCCCACCGCCAGCATTGGTCAGGGTAAGTCTCCGTCTGAGTCTCCGGTTAGTCAGTCTCTGTGTGGCCCCTTATTTTTCTGTTATCCTCCTCTCCTGTGCGGGTCTCTGTGCTCCCCCCCTCCCCAATTCCTCCCCCTGCCAGTGCCCACGCTGCTTGAAGGGGCCGGGGACGCAGGGGAAGGGTCGGCCTGGCCTCTCACGGAGGCTTACCTCAGGCCAGTGGACTGTAATTTTCTCTTCTCTCAGAAATACCCCAACCCTCACGCACCCAAGGACCCTGTTTCTGGGCTCCGTTCGTCCTCAGGGTGCCTTCTTTCCTGATCTAATGACGCCCCCCCCCGCCCCCGCCCCCCGTTGGCCAACTAGAGGGAAAGGAAAAGAAAGTCAAACAGATCAGTTTCTCAAGACTTTCTTGCTCTTTGTTTCTTTCAATTTTCCTGGTCTTCTCTCTTCTATCACGGGCTCTGACCTAGATTCCTTCCGTTTTCCCTAAGATCTGTGTGTGTGGGGCCGGGGGCGGGAGGGCGGTGGTAGCTGAGGGTTTGGGGATCTAGGTGAGGATCCACAGTGGGGAGTAAATGCTCTGTTAGGAGCCCGGTTCCACTAAATTAGCTGCTTTCCTGAAGTCCGAGGCTAGCCTAGTGCTGGGCTACTGAATGGCTGGACCTGCTTGTCTGACATTGCCCAGGATGCTGCCTGGGCTCCTAGCCCAAGACCCCCAGCGCCCCAATGAGGATAGAGGGGAGGGCAGTGTCTGGTGCGTATGGATGGTGTGGTGGCAATGTCCCAGGTATTCCTGCCTGCCCAATGGCTCCTTTGAAGGCATGACCTGTTGAGACTGAGAGCTTCAGCTAAAGGGACACAGCCATTTAATTTCTTCAATTAAACTTAATTTCCAAGGACTTGATTCAATTAACCGATCCAGAATTATGGTGGGAGGGGGGGCATGAGAAGGGGACAAGCAGCCAAAGGAAGGACTGCCTTTGGGAGCAATGTCCTGCTCCTGGCTCTCCCTTGGCTCTGGAGGGTCCTGCACAGACCTGGCACAGGCACTGGGGAATGGACAGAGCATGGGCAGCTTCTTTCGGGGTTCCATCTTAGGAGAGGATGGGACTCCTGTTTAGAGACCTTAGAATAAGATGGGCCAGAGATGGGTGGGCCTTTACAGTGGAATCCTTTGTTTATTACCTCATGCCCTTGACCTGCCCTTGTTCACATCGTAGGAAAGACTGGCAGGATTCCATAAGCAGCCAGATGGGCTGGCTGTCCTCCTCAATACCAAGTTTGGAGATAAGGGAACTTGTCTTCTCCCTCCTTCCACCCAGAAGGCAAGGGAGGCTACACCTCTGAACCAAATTTGCTCCCTCTGTGGCCAGGAGAGTCTGTAAGGACAGGTGGGGCCACCAAGCCAGATGGGACCAGCACCTGGAAGATTTCTTTAACTTTGAGAAGTGAGTTCTAGGTAAGAGATTAAGAAGAAGGAAAAAAAAGACACTAAAAATACTGTCCCATACAAATCCATTTTTAATAATTTCAGCTTGCCACCAGTTTCCAGCTCCAGTTCCTCTAGGGTTTATCACTGTGGAAAACACTAAATGTCCCAGGTTGAGCTGTCCATCCAGTGACCAGAGGTGACCCAGCTGATGATCATCTCTTAAGAATCTACTTCTGTCCACGGCAGCATGTTGATGGACTCCCTGGTACCAGTGCATGTCTGCTCAATGTTGGAGCCAGAACCCTGATTCCAGAGGAGGGCTAGTATCCCTCCGCTGAAGCTCAAGTGGACAAGCAACCAGGGAGGTCCCTGACTTGCTCTCACTGCTGGACTCCTGCACTTACTCCAAACTCTTCCTCCGTGCCATCCTGAGGCTTTAGAAAGTGTTTCAGAAGGGAAGGATCTCAGAGCAGCAGCTACTTAGGCAGCAGCTATAGGGCAGGGAAAGCCTACAGTAGTCCCATGAAGGGCATCCAGAGGAGGAATCCCAGGCCAACTTTTCAAATGTCAGGAGACTTGCCCATGGCTCCACCCAGAAAACAGGTAGACAGAATGGCCTCTCCGTGATGCTCACCTGGCCCCTTGCAATGGAGGGTACTCTGCCCCAGGCAGGGTCTCTCCCTCCCAGGCACCAAACCACAGCAGGAACAGATTCCTCCCCAGAGGAAATTCTCAGGCAGGCTGGATGTAAACAACAGCCGGGTGAGGGGGTGGAACTCTGGAGGGGAGCTTAGCAGAGGCAGGAGAGGCTCCCGGGGAGGAGGTGGCTTAGGAGGTGGCTTGGGAGGTGGGGAAGCTGCTGGAAAGGGAACCAGCAAAGTAGGCACCTGAGGGCTCCAGAAAACCTGTCAATGTTTATTTCACACACATGTACCCCCTAAAGGCAGTTTAAACCAGATTGAAAGGGAAAAGCTGAAGCTGTGACCCTACAGTGCTGATGAGTCAATGGGCTGGAAGGTAGCGGAAGGCTAACAGGTACTCCTGGTACCCAGAATCAAATCCAGAAAGTGGTGGCCGGACAGCAGGGCACTCGGTGGATTCTAATCTTCAGTCTCCCAGAGAAGTCAGCTCTGGATTTAGGAAATAGAAAAAAAGGTACTCCATTCCTACCCTACCCTAAGCCTGAGCTAAGAGTCCTAATGACTGGACGGAGTGCCAGCAGGAGCAGGGGAGACAGATTTCAAGTCCAGCTCAGCCCCAGGCCAAAAGAAGCAGAATTAGTTCCATCTAGATCTGAGAGTTGTCAGTTTTCAGAAGCCTAGGAGAGCCACTGATCCTCAAGGTGTTGGCATCACCCGAAGGCTTGTCCCAACAGCGCCTGAAAATTGGTCAGTAGCCACAACTTGTAATCTCAAATGGAAATGTGAGGGGATGTCCAGGGAGCCCACCCTGGACATCCCTACATTCTTGAAGGCTTCTCTCTGTGCCCACCCATCCCTCCCCAATTATCCCTGGCTTGCCCCTCCTGGCACCTGCTGTCCAAGCTCCACTGAAGTGCAGCCTTCACTGAGAGAACTTGGTGTCTGTGTTGTTCTCCAACCTTGGGGACAGCCTCCTCTCCCCTTACGCCCCCTCCAGCCCCGAAGTCTCATGGATAAGGGCAGTCAGTGGCTGCTCAGGTCGGCATGGCCTCAGGAGATAGTGGAGAACTCCTTGAGTAGGACTTCCTGGCTGAGTGTGTGGAAGGCCAGGTTTCTTCGCACATTGGTGCTAATGGATCGAACCTGGGAAGGGGTGGAGGATGGGAGGAAGACACAGGCAGAGAGAAAAGAGGAGAGAGTCATTACAAATAGTAGCGGGCAGTGCCTGAGACACAAGGCCATGATTCAGCACTAGAAGTTTCTCTCAGGAAATGAACCCTTAACAGCTCTCATCTCTGCTGGCAAATGAGCAAACAGTTCGGTTGGGTGACAGTGGGAAGAAAAGAAGAAGGGCTGAAGACAGAAACTTTCCAGTATGGAGAAGAAGACCTGAGCACCTGAAGAGGTAGAAGCAAGCAGACAGGGAAGGACGCCAGGGCAGCCCTTGGTGCTGGCCTTAGCCACCATGTACAAAGATGACTGGTCTGCTCAGTGGTCTAAAGGAGAAGGAGAAACTGACACTAGTGGATGCCAGCTCTGGAGCTACCTCCCTTTGGATGTGTGTCTAGTCTCCTTACCCTCCCTTTGTATTTATCTACTTTTTGGGGGTTGGAAAGAATATTTAGAGGTGCAGACCTTGTCTGGATTAGATGGCAGGAGTATGATCCAAGGAGGCCAATGACCAGGATCAGATTGCATGGCTAGTGTGTCCCAGGCCTGGGGCAAGATCCAGGCTTCTTAATTCCTAGCCCAGCACTCTTTCCATACCACAAATATGCCTCCTCTTTAGAGGAAAGTCTGGGGTGGACCCTGCTGTGTCCTTCCTGCTCACCTCACATGCTTTCTACCCACGGACCCAGAACCTTGCAGAAAATGGTGCCTGGGTCAACGGGAAAAGGTCTGTGGAAAAGGGGTCAAAGGGCCAAGTTCCCTAATCCGAGTGCATTTTAAAAGGAATACAGCAGACTCTGGAAGGAGATTCGTTCACGAGAAGTAGATGTGAATGTTGTATGAGAGAAAAGAGGGTGGGAAGGAAAAAAGAATGTGTGTCTATGACAGGCCCCAGAGTCCAGGGAGCTTTCCCCAGTTTCTGCTCTGCTATGGTAAACTTAATGAGGTCAGCAGGCTGGAGGCAGGGGAAAGGGCAGCACGGTGAATAGCAAGCAGCTCACGCTCGTAAGCTCCAAACCCAACCAGACCCTCTTTGTTCCCCTGTGCGAGAGATACAGATATAAGGAGAAGCCAGTAAGGTGGCAGCTAGTGTCAAAAAGCCTTGAGACAGAGTTCCTCTAACCCTCTCCCCCACAACTCTCTTCATCTCCCAATAACTTACTCTTTGTTAAGTCCTGGCCCTCAGTAATTACCCCACATCACCTTAAAGAATTGCTAACAACCCCATACAAATACTCTGCCATCTCCTCACACTAACGGCTTCCCTTTTCCAAACTAACTCACCCTGGAGTATGTCTCCCTCATGCTTGGTTAGTCCAAAATCCCAGCAATGTCATGTCAGGGTCAGAGTTGGGCTGTGTTTAGTACAACAGAGACGAGCTGAAATCCAGCACTTCATCTTGGACTTGGCACAGAGTAGTAAAGGCTGGGCTGGCGCAATTTCTGCCCCAGCGGTGGGAGGTCTGAGGACATGGGAAGTAGGTAAGGAGGCCTGTGTGTCCTGGTGGCCTCAACCCCCAGCTAGGATGTTTGTGTGCAACCAGGCAGGCGAAATGGCAGGACTACAGGGAGGCTGAGCTTTTCCTGAGAGTAGCTCTGAGCACAGTGCCGGAGAAGGGCCGTCAACAAGGAGAGTCCAGTTATGTGAAGAGAGGCTGACTGGGAGGTGGAGTAGGAGGTAGAGCAAATGCTCACTGGCACCAGGTGGCCAAGGGTGGGGGCTGCAGGGAGCTGAGCGATTGGAAAGTGGGAGTGGGGATAGAGAGCAAAGACTGGAGAACTAGATTGGGGGGCGGGCACTAAGACCAGGAGCCAGCTAGGAATTTAGGAAGTGATTGCATAAGGGGGAGAAGAATCAATTATTCTCTGTTAGTTTCTCTGAGGACAGGATACAGAGTAAGGAACCAGAGCTGCCACTGGGAACACACATCAAACCCCAGGCCCAGCTGGAACCATGCAAGGACTGTCTGCATGGCGGCAGAAGAGACGGGGGCAATGCTGCCTCAGCTTCTCACTCTTCTTAGCCTGGCACCAGCACCCTGGGGAGTATCTTCTCTCACTGCCTGGTGCTGGGCTGCTGTGGGAGAGAAGCTGCACACGCAGTCCTAGCATGCTCCTCAAGTCTTATTTCATCAGCCTTTGGCAAACTGCAGTTGCTCCCTAGATGCCTACCGGCACAGCAGAACCCAGAGGCTGGGAAAGGGCCCTCAAAACATACAGAGACAGAGGGGGGGCAGACTCACCAGCTCTTTGAAGAAGGCAGCTTCCTTGTGCTGCTCTGAATAGCGCTCATACTGGTCCAGCCCATCCTGCAGCTTCAGTGTGAGTGTGTCATAGTTGGCTCGCACTACCTCCAGCACCTGGGCAAGTCAAAGGCCAGGCAGGGCTTACTTAGTCCAGGCAAACTCTAGGTCACTTGGCCCCATGCATGCCCCTCCTGCTGCCCTACTGCACTGAATTTAGCCTGGGGCAATCCCCCCAAGAGACCTTGCTCACTACTTACCAATTTTTCCTCCCCCTAAAAAAACCCTGGCCACAGGGAGCAATTCCTGAGGATTCTGGGATTACTTTCTAATGTCTTCCAGTCTCCATTTTTCCTGACTAGTCCAGCCTGGCCACCAAGGCTGCTTACTCTGGGTATGGTAAAAGAGCATGAGAAGAGCTCACAGAATGCTGAGTGTCTAAGCTCACCAACGTCCCCACATCATTAATGTGTTGTTCTCAGCTTTCTCTGGCCAGGTTGTCACAGTTGCTTAGTAAGATTTTGCCAATGTCTCCTTCCTTTCACCTTTCTGGGATCCACATTTCTTTGGTCCTGGGATGTTCCTCAGCACCATCTGCCACTTGTTTTCATCTTTCAATGTAAACTCAGTCTTCCTATCCACTCCCTGGTTCGAGCTTTTGGGTATCCCAGCCTTGGGATATAGGGGACACTTTATAGACTAAACTAGAGATAACGTCATCTTTTTTTTTTTTTAAGATTTTATTTATTTATTTTTAGAGAGAGAGGAAGGGAGGGAGAAAGCAAGGGAGAGAAATATCGATGTATGGTTGCCTCTTGAGCGCCCCCCACTGAGGACCTTGCTTGCAACCCAGGCATGTGCTCTGACTGGGAATCGATCCAGCAACCTTTTGGTTCTCAGCAACCCTTTCATTCTCAGGCCAGCACTCAATCCATGGAGCCACACCAGCCAGGGTGATAACGTCATCTTTTGTTCTGCTGAGGGGTTCTCTCTCCCACCATGCCTCTCTCTGACTTTATGTGATGGGAACTCAGACTTCTACTGACTCCCGGAACCTTGGATCTCTGTTTCCAAAAGGAAGGAACTATCATAGCTGGTTTGAGGTGACTTTAGTTTATAAGACCATGAATTAAAGGCAAGGACAATTAGGAAGAGAGGCACTACATGAAGTTAGAAGAAATGAGCTGGGCAGAACGGAGAGAGCAGGAGAGGGAATGACTTTGGCTGTGGTACTCTGGCGGATAGCTATTCTGCAACTTGATCTGACCTGGGAGGGAAATCTGTGATGTGATGGAGAGCTCCCAGCTCAGTAGGGAGTTGAGGAGAATGAGTAAGGAGGGAGGCTTAGCTCTAACAGCAGATGGTAGTGAAGGGACAAGCCAGAGTCAGGGCTGGTCAGAGGGATGAGGATGAACTCCTGTGGGGCGCAAAGGTGCCGCTGGGCTGTTCCCACCAATTCCGTCTGGTGTCAGGGCAGACTTCACTTGGTAGCAAACACTTCGGCCTGCCAAGAATTCTTGAGGAGAGAGTATGGATAGAGAACACAGGGAAGGCTGTGTCCTGAGTTTGGGGGGAAAAGACAACTAGAGCAAAGGTACTGGCACAGGCTCTGGGCTCATTACCTCCAGAAACCGAGCTCCTCAAAGTGGCTTTGCCTGCTTATATATCCAAAGACCACAGTATGGTCTGGCCTCTTTGCTTGTAATTCCATTTGAAAGCTCTGTCAGCAGGAGGACCAGTACCCAGCAATGGCAGTCACCCACAAAGTCATCTGGTCCTCTCATGCACCTGGCTGTGCTCATGGCTGGAATAGCTACAGCCAAGGTCTTGGCTCAGAAGCAGATGGCTCAAGCCCAAAAACGGCAAAATTCCTCCAAGATGGAATCAGCCCTCACATACCAGGCAGATTAGAATACTACACGCTTTCTCAAACTCTGAACAATGGGCAGTCTCAGCAATATCTATGACCCAGCAACTTGGGCTCAGCCTTCCCTGAGGGGTGGCAGGTACCAAGAGACAGATACTATGCTAAAGTCAATTTCTGAGAAGATGGTGCAGCATATCAAGAGATGCTATATCCTGAGAGCTTCAGGCCTCAGGCAAGGCTGCCTTGATCACCTGGGCTTTCTCTTCTTGGCAGCACAGAGTGGAAAGTCTAAGATCTCATTCAGAACAGGCATTTTTTTCCTTTCTCGGTAAAGTTGGCTTTTGCCAGAACAGCTTAGTTCAGTTTCTTGCAGGGAGGTGAAAGCAAAGAAGGGCTCTGAGCTATCAGCTCTTTGGAAGAAAACCAGAGGCCTTGCTGGACTGAGCGTCTGATCTCAGCTCTACTCTGTCCAGACCTCACATCGTTTCGCCCTCTCTTACCCAGGGGAAAGTTGCCCTTTAGTCCACCCAGCCTCTGCCACCTCCTGCCCTCATCACTTCTCTTCAATTCCTAAAAGAAGACATTCCAAGCTCAGGCATGGGCTCTAGCCCATGTGGGACTTTGGAGCACTAGAGGTGCTAGTTTGGGACTTTGCTTTCTGTAGCTTCAGACTTTAGGAACATGTCCCATTTGGGCCTCACACTCAACACTGGCCTGGGGCGTGGCAAGAGCAGCACTTAGTCAGAGGGCAACCTCCCAGAGCCCTTGTGCCTAACTGCCTTAGGTTTTACCATAATTGTCAACCTCAGTCTCTGGCCTCCTGATACCCGCTAGTATGAGATTCCTCCCTAATCCATCAGGTGACAGTCTATCTTTCAAGTACAAGCCTACTTTCTTTCATCAGCTGTTGGGCTTATGGGATTCCTAGAAACATGCCCACCACCTCAGCTCAACGTAGCTCCAAAGTCAGTAAATCATGTATAAGCCACATGCTCTCTAAAGACTCCATACTGGCCCTCTGCCCCCACGACCCTCAACAGACAGGAACCTTGTAAGGGGCCTGATAGAATAGAACTGGGAGTCCCGCTCTTACTATGGGATCTCAGATAATTCACCTAACCTCTCTGCGCCTTAGCCTTCCTCTCTATAAAATAGAACTTAAATTCATCTTCCTAAAATGACATGGGAATAAAAGTTTTGAGTTCCCGAAAGTAACATGCAGTTGTTGGGAACACTATCATCCCAATGGCTAAACTGCTCTTGGGACTCAAGAGTAACTGTCTTCACAGCCCATTTCAAACTATGTCAAAGATCCTATGTGCATGAATGATTGTTCATTGAAAAGAAATGTCTTCTGGACTTAACTGGAAGACACAAATGGCCTCAGTTTAGGGAAGAACTAACTGGTGGGAGAGGAAAACCTAAATCCCTCCCCGGAGGTCTCCTGAGGGGAAGGGCCTGACTTAGGCCTTGAGGTCAGAGAGACCCGAATTTGGTTCGTCAACCACTAACTAGCTATGTAAACCATACACATCACTTAATCTCTTTGAGTCTCAGTTTTCTTATCTGTAAAATGGGGATAACACTATCTACCTCATAAGGCTGATATGAGGATGAAATGAGAAGATTGTCCAATGTCTGGCACATAATGAAGTCAATAAATAGTTACTAATTTTATGATGAAAGCTTCATTCTGGTGAAAATATGCATTTAGTAGTTCTGCTTATCCCCAGATAGTTTTAACCATAAGCCTGGAGCTAGGGCCTTGCACATCTTCATTTAGGCTATGGCAGATTCTGGTGAGGAGAAAACCTCAATCAATAGGAAAGCAGGCTTCCCACAATGACCCCACTGTCCTGAGTAAATTGGCAATGTATTAGCCAGAAGTCAAAGAATACCCATTACCCACTGCCAACCTTACTAATCTGGGTAGTGCAAAGAGATACAGGTTATATTAAAGAAAAACTGAGCAGAGGTACCCACAGAGGCAGTCTTGGATCATACAGGTTCTGAGGCTCTTGACCACATAAGGATCAGAAAGGACAGAGATACCAGTGTACAAAGTTAGTTCAAAATTGCTGATGAGGTTTCAGACACACGTCCTTCCCCTAGCGCATACAACAGACATTCCCCACAGACTGTTCAATGGCCTGTGCCCCATTTTTTTTTAAAACAGAGGCTTCAAAATGGGAAATAACTTCTACCCTGAAGTTAGCAGCAAAGGAGAATAGTCAAGTTGAGGAAGTTCCTAGCAATGGCTGTCCCATGCTGATGTCAGAGGGCTTTACTTTGTGCTGAAAAGATTGCTTAGTCTCTAATCTCTGTTGGACTGAACTTCCAGCAGAATGAGAATTAGGGGACAACTAAGTAAAAAGATGTGACCTGGCAGCAAGCTCCTGGTCATTACCTGCATCTCAGTTTGAACACACCTTAACAAGGGCACTTCAGAATGGATCAAACCTGATTTTTAAGAAATCAAAACTATGGACTGTGTATTTGGGGAGTAAAGTGACATTCTTTTCCATCCTTTCAACCTTTTGCTCATCCTTTCTGTGGGATTTATTTTCAGCATCAGGGCTGAGCACGAACAATCTGCCCTTGAGGTGATTGGTCCCGATGGAGCCCAAACTGTCAGCGCCAGGGTCACAGGCCTGTCGGAGGGAACTGCCCCCGCTACAGCTGTTGTCTCAGCGGCCCTGCTCACTGATGGGGAACTTTGCCCTCAGAATTAGCTGACACAGTAATGTAAAGTAGAGGAGGTGGTAGGCAAAATGGAAGAGACCTTGACTTTCTTCATTTTTCCTGTCTTAAAAGGTGTGACACAGTTTCAGCCTGGCTGCCCATTCGCTGATTTGCAGCTGACTCCAAACCAACTTCGTGTTACTGGCTCAACCCTATTATGTGCTTACATCTGTGGGTATGTGCTTCGTGGTGGTTTATCTTGATTCCTCATTTTGCTTGTTAGCTCCCTAAAGGCAGAACTTGGCTCTGAGGGCGTTCGTAATCTGTCAGAGTGCTGAGAGCTGCTGGGTGTACTGTAATGGCCTAACTCTAATCTTACTGTGTGACCTTGATGAGAGATTCCTTTCCTTTTTGGTTGGGCCTGAGAGTTACTAAATTAGTCCACAAGCGTGTTGGATGTTTACTGTTTCTTAGGACTCTGTTAGGCCTTATGGAAAATCTATAATGTAACACTGGGTCTCTTTCTTCAGAGCGCAGAGAATTAAGCTGTGGCACAATTTCAGTGAGG